GCCACGTATGGATATTCTATGACTATGCCAGCCTCTACCAGTTTCCGCGAAAGACCAACAAGCAGATGCAGTCGTTCAATCGTGCGTTGAGTCACATGCATTTGCTGTATGCCCACGACTGGGTCAATGTTGAGATTATAAGCAAGCTGACCGATCAGGCCTCGCTGTCGCGAGCCACACAGCCTTAAACACTCCACTATCATGTCCAAAAGTGCTGCCAGCCACTCCAGCGGTTTTGGACTTGGTCATATTTTATCATATTTTGACTTTGCCACATGAGGCGGTCAAAGAGAAGATGGAGAGGGACAACAGTCATATTGAAGTGTACAACGTCAAGATTGGTGCGGTTGGTCCAGTTCCAATTGCAGAGCTGACGTTCAACGATGTTCCTTATCTCGAGCGTGGCTAGCTCAGTGCAGACATGAAACGCTGCCAAGCGAAACCTGTTTCGACTTTCTAGCCCACTTCTGAGGTGGTTGGTGCATAGCAGAGATGCAGTGGGCAAGCACCCGCGAAGGTCAGGAGAGCTGAACACATATGATATATTTCTAAAAATATATTGTTGATGAATTCTTAAACAGTTGTGTCCTCATGGAAACATGCTGCTGACTTTGCGAGACCTTACGAAGGTGAAGATCATGCCGTGCCAGAACCACCTGAGCAGTTTGCAAAAAGACTTTGCCAGTTGAAGTTCACTCATCGATCAGACGCAAGCGCAGTGCAACTTGCAAATCTTGTTTTAAACTTTGGCGAGAACTTTGAAGAAGTGAAAGAAAAAGGTAGCATGATTGTGAGTTAGTGGTTTGTTTTGACCTTGATTCAGTTTGATGTGTGCCAGTTTGGCTACAAGCCGATGTATCTCGAATGGTTTTGGCTCGCCGGCTTCTTGTGTGGTTGGCTGGTGGGTTTCCTAACTGAACGCCACGGCTTTCGACGCCTGCAACAACCAGTATAAGGAGGAATGACTTTGTTGTCGACAGACACAGAGTTGCCAGGTGGGAGGTTGGCGAACGCTCAATGACGTACGAGCTCGGAGTGACTTGCCCACAGAGATCTGGGATTGCGTGAATGAACTCCCTCGGCCAGGTCAGCCATGTCAGACTTGGGTTCTTGTGGAAGGGCATGCAGCTTATAGAACCTTCACTGACGGCCTCACCACCCCCACCAAAAAGATGCGATCAGACTGAGCGGAGGTAGAACCTTTGTCGCGCTCTGAAGTGGACAAGCATGTACGTGTGCCAGTGACTTGGCCAAGCAGACGTGTGCCACACCTGAGTCAACGGGTAAAAGGAACTCAAGGCAGCGCTGCAGGTGTGGCAGGCAGCATCGGAGCCATGCGCCAAGAGCGACCGGTCAGGAGGCTCGTCGTCAGCTCATTGACGTCAAAGAACGAGTCGTCCCTCCTAGGATCAGCGATGTTGTGCGAGACGATTTTTGAGTTCGAGGTTGGTTGGATTGTTCGAATCGATCACGTGCATGTCGGTCTGCGCCTTTAGTGCCGGGCCCCCATGGCCGTGCAGGCCCAGGTGACCCGCCACGGATTGGGCGCGGTTGGCCTGCTATACGTGGACGGGCCAATCGACTCAAGGTCGGAGTTGCATGTGCCTAGGACCTTGAGGTCACAGGGTCTTGAGCAGGCACATCCTTTCTAACCAACCCTTTAGACGCAGTTAAGCTAGATCTATGTTTGGAAATTGGCCTTATGTCACTTAGCCATTATAAGTGCAGTGTGGAGAAGCCGTTTTGCTTTGGCCGTTCAGCGAAACAGCGTGCGACGCCTGCCCCGCCAGGCGTGGGTGCTTTGAAAGCCATGGCTCAGAAAAGCGCGCGTCGATGCTGTCTGAGTCCTTTGAACCCTGGTTCATGCACGGCGACAGCAAACCAAGCCTCTCCCTTGCCAATCTCCCACCTCCGGTTAACGGCCTCTGTGGGCGCGAGCTTGTGGGTGACCTTGACAGAGTAGCAAGTCCAATTGATGTGGGGGCATCAGAGCGCCGTAAGCTACCGTTAACGGTATGGCCAAACACAGAGTGTGTTAGAGGCCTTCAAGGCCATCTATGTGCCGGGCACGGTCAAGACGAAGTCTGCTCTCTATCGCAACCCGTGAACTGCGTTGCCGGTCGGAGACCACAGGAAAGTTGAAGGTGGCGCCTGCGCCTCTCAAAGTGGCAGGCTATAGATCAGGGGCAGCCTGAGGGGGGTTTGCTGTGGGCCAGATTGACGACGCGAGAGAGGAAACACCTACACATCTTGTGTGTTGGGACTTGTTTCCACACTGGCAAGGTACTTGGCAGGGGAACTGGGACACCGTCGTCTAGGTGTTGTGTCAAGTTGAAGTTGGATTGAGAAGGTTTTTTTGAAAGATGGAGGCAGGTAGTGGGACCACATAGCAATAAATTGGGATTTTGATCGATGGCTGATTGTCTGGTGAATGGTGAAGAGCAAAACATGTATCGTGTGAACTTGTGCGTTCTCTCCTTCGAGCTGACACTTGCTATGGCGTATCAGGCAAGAGCTCCAAGAGAAGGTTTTCCGAGAAAAGACAGGAAGGACTACCAAGCTACGCTTCGACAAGCTGCCGCCCGAACAAGTCCATATTTTATGCTCCGCGTTGCAGCACTATCCTAAACTGGAGATGATAACAATTTCCAGGACGAAGCTTCAACCAACTGGAGTAGCGGCTGTTTTGAGATGCCGAGCAGTGTTAGCAGTTCTTGTGAACTGCGACCTGCGCGATGAAGAGGCAGCGGCAATGCAGGACATCTTGGAGAACGAAGCTACTGCAGTGAAGCAACTTGAGGTAGGCCGAAATGACAACATGTCATTGAATGCTTCCAAATCCTTGACTCTTGCTGCACTGAAAAAGAATGTGAAGCTCCTCTTGGAAACGGAAGCCCAGGATCCTTACCTGCAAGTACCGGTAGGAAAATGAAGATCCTTTCAGAAAAAACCCTTCAGGGAATATATATTTTGGGTGAAACGGCGAGTCACCTATGCTACATAAAAGTTATGTTTTGCGTGCGTGAGTGTGAAGATGATCCGAAGCAAGTCAAGTCAATGCGATGCTGTATCCCCAAAATACGTCCTGATCTCAAATTGAGATATATCACCAAAGGTAGCTTGGTAAGGGCTACCTTGAGGTTGCTTTGCGAAGCAAAGGGGTAGCTTGAACAGCCTGCTCAGGACCAAATATTGAATATCAATTCTATTGACCCCCCTCCATCGTGATGAATGATTGAAAAAACAATTTTTTGGTGACCACCCCCCCTCGCCAGCACCACTTGCATCACCTGCTCAACTACCATAGCGTGACGTCCATTCACTGGCAGCAACAGCAGTGTCGCTTGTGATGCTAAATTGTTCGTCGCTTGTGGCGCTACTTTGCTGATCGTTTTCTTCGTTTAACTAACTAGCTAACTTATTAATTAATAATCTAACTAACTAACTAGCTAGCTAGCAAACCAACCAACCAGCCAACCTGTCCTGTAAGCGCTCTTCTAGACTTTGGTTTCGAAGCATCTGTCGGCATTTGCGCATGTGCTGATGGCCCCACCCACCACCCCCCCAGGATGTAAGAGTGTGTAAGATTTGCTTTGCTTGTTAATGCTTGAGTGCAATGCTGATGGCCCCACCCCCCAGGATGCAGGTGAGTGTATGGGTTGTTTGTTTCTTTGTGCTTGAGTGTTGTGCTGATGGCCCCACACCCCACTCGCCAGGAGGTAGGTGAGTGTAAAAAATGGTTTCTTTGTTTGCGCTTGAGTGTCGTGCTGATGGCCCAGCCCCCCAGGTTGTACGAGCGTGTAAGATATGTTTTCTTGGTTCATACTGCCCCACCCCCCACACCCCTCCCACAGACCACCCATGATGCTGGTGATGCTGGTTTTCGTCGCAAGTGATCGGCGAATCTTCGTCGCATGAACGGTGGATCAGCAGTGCCCCTACAATAAGGTTGCGCAATGCGGCTTCGACGCAGTGCGTGCACACTTGCGGTCTTTACAAAGCGCGTGCGGCTCTGGGACCACAGCTCTTACACATGCCAGCGTATACACGCGCACGTCACACCTTTTTACGCAAGCCAGCGTTCACACACCATATTGAGCGTTGACGCAACACAGCCTCTAGGCAAAGCCGTGTTGACAAACCTCGCCACGCCACATGCCCTAGCAACCTCTCCTCACGACCCAGGTCACTCGGTCACCCTTAAGCGCGCGTGTGACGGACGACCGCAGTTGCGCAGCACAGTTTGGCACCAAGCGCACCACAGCTCTTACATACACCAGTGTTGACAAACCTCCACGTGCGCCACGCAACACCACATGTTGCAGCAACCCCTCCTCGCGACCCCGGCCACTCTTATGCGGAGCACAAATGTGACATACGACGGCATTTTGCGCAACACAGTTTTTTGGCACCAGGCAGTCCTTACACGCCACACCACTTACATACACCAGTGTTGACAAACCTCCATGTGTGCCACACCACACCACATGTTGCAACAACCCCTCCTCCCGACCCCGGCCACTCTCATGCGGAGCGTGCATGCGACATGTGGCACAGTTTTGGTGCAAAGCAGCTTTACCAAACCACAGCTGTTACACAGCCCTGTTGCGTTTAGATACTGCGGCTTTTATATATTCCTGGTGTCTCTCTACCTTTCATGTTTCCCTGTCTCAAGTGGAGATGACCTGAGGACAGGGAACTTGGAAGGAAGATCGGGAAGTCTATTGAAAGCATCCAGGACTGGTGATGTCATTCAGATGCATTTAGTAGGCACCAAATCGGTTCTACATTTTCTTTCAGTGGTTTGGACCAATTCGACCAAGTGGGGAATGCTCTTGGGAAGTGCGCAGCTGGCGGCTGGCAGTTAACAGTTTCAAGAAGGTCAATCACACTGCAACACGCTGGGTATCAACCTGGGAGGACTTGATTACGGTCCGCATTGATGGGCAGTCTGCAGATGAAGCCCGCGACATCTTGGCTTCGACTCTTTCGCAAGAAGTGCCGGTCGTGGCATTTGGCAACTTTGCTGTTGTTTCCAAGGATAGGCCACTAGCGGTTGTGAATCAAACATTGACATACACTTCTCGGCCAGTTCCTGGGATGCGTGCGGTGAATCTGCAATCTACCTAGTGAGAGTTTACCAGCATATATATATATATTTCTTGGTACTTATGTTTGTCTAGAACCCTGTGTTGAACAAAAAGAAGTGGCCAGGTGCCAGATTCGCAGGTTATGCGATAGAAGCCAAAGGCAGCAGTGTGAAAGACTGAATCTAGTGTAGCATTGCGCATGGGGTGTTGAAATGGGATATGTTGGGACTACCCCATGACAGGCTACACTTGACACTGGGTGGCAATGACAACGATAACAGCACATCAGGCCGGCCAAAGGTAGCTGTGCACATGCAGATGTTGACTGTTTATGACTGTAGACTGTATGCATGATGCGAGTTGGTTGAATGCATATCTTTGTGTCCGCTTCATGTGTCCACTTCGGGATGTCTATCTGGAGCTAGGCTTGTGAAGAGCTGTTGTGAGCTGTAGGAAATGGCCCAAATTGGGGCCGCTTTTCTCTGGTTCTTTGGCAGCGCCTGTGTTGGTAGCGTCACAGGTGCTGCCTTCGCACACTTCCGCATAGTCTTGAGTCGTCAATTGTACATGCTTTGTGGACCTAAGCTGCAATGCTTGGCTTATGTCGACAGAGCCCGAACTGCAGCGCAAATCACGCCTGTAAAAAGCATTGTGCGGGAAGGAGCATACTTGCTTTGCGTTGAGATGTTTGGTTGGTTCTTGTCAACTGCAGTGAGGTCGGAAAATCACGTGCGAATCATATGAATGAGTAGTTCAGGATGTGCTTTGTGGAGGCCAAGTGACCAGGGAACTAGAGTAGCTTGAGTTTCCACGGGGCCTACACAAAATTCATTCAGCCTTCTGCTGTTTCATATGGTTTTACTCAGAGGCGGACTTGGATTTTAGCCAGAGATTACAGTGCTACATTTTGCCATACGCGAGTCATGTCATATGTCTGAAAATCGTCGCAGTGCATTCTCAAGTCGAAAGGTTTTGCTTCCCATTGAGGATAAGCATTCCATAACATTCTAGCCACAACCAACCGCTTGGAATTGTGTAGACTCGATTGCCAGAAGGATACTTGCATTGTTCACAGTTCTTGTTGCTCTCAACTGGTTGTGAGATGATGAAGTGTTCAAGGGCCTGTGGATGGTTTCTGGTCCTCAACATGTGCCAGAACCAAGCAACCTGCCAAAGGGGCAAAGCCAGCAAGACCAAGAAACTTCGTGATGTTTGTTGGTATTTTCCCATGGCGTTTTGGCGCCCTGGAGCGTCCGGGATCCTTAGTTGACAGGGCATTTGAGGTGGAAAGCGGAGATCATAGGCTCATAGATTATACTATTGATTGTGTGGTGACACGGCGTCCCTCGCGCCTTTTTCGCTATTGAGCCAAATCCGGTGCCATTGCGGGAGCAGCTAATAATCAGTAGAACACAACCACACAATTCTTGTGAGAATCAATTGTTTGGGCCCGCATTGGATCGCTCTCCAGATTCGCCCTTTTGATGGGGCATCTTGACAAAAACTCCCTTCCCCAACGACCATCTTCACCTCTCGGGCACCACGGTTCGACTCGCCTGGCCGCATCAGTTGCACGAGCACACCCTGCCGGACGTGCAGCGCTCGGATCTCAAGGTCCGGAAAAAAGGGGACGGGTTGAGATCGGTGTTCCCGAAAAGGAACAACACACACACATCATTAAGTGGGTGTTTGGAGATATCCAACACGGAAAACGGTTTGAAGATGTTTGAAGAACATTTTGAGTCTATATAATTACTATACGACCTGCCACAAGCATCAATCTATCCATCCATCGATCTATCCATCGATCTATCCATCGATCTATCCATCGATCTATCCATCGATCCATCCATCCATCCATCCATCCATCCAGCCATCTAGATAGATTCTTTGGTCGTGCTGTGCTGTGCTGTGCTTTGTTTAAAGATAGTAATTCAGCTGATCCCTTGCTGGCACACCTGTACCTAAGCAGCATCTCTTGGCTGGTACCTCCAAATCAAGATCTGACTGAAGCAGGTCAGCAAGATCAGCAGGTCAAAGAGATGTTCGCCGCTTGGGTCAAAGGTCCATAGGCCACTTGTGACCTCTCTCTGCTACCTTCCACTTTCGGGTCTGGGTCGCTTCCCGATGGAAGAGCTTCGAGTCTTCGCATCTCCAGGATGTTGTGTTGACCCTGAAGTGCCTGGGTGTGGATGCCAGGGCCTAACCGGCTGGACAGGGGCCGGACCAGGATGTGACAGGATGTTTGATGTTTGTGTATAACAAAACAAAAAACTAACAGCTGGTTTCTCTCTCTGCGTGACTGCCTGATGGCATCCAAGGAAACACTTGTTGTAGTGTAGCTTGTGATTTTTAATACAAATATGATTTGACAAATTGTTTGAGGCAACGGACTGAGACAAAGGAATAAGACTTAATTTAGTTTTAGACAATGACTTTGACAAACATGCTTCAGTGCTTTTCTAGAAGAGAGAGAAACCTCCTTCCCCGTTGCTCGCTCCGTCCTTTTCTTGCGCGGTCCTTCTCCTTTTGGTTTTTCTTTTTACTTTTGCTTCTTATTTTCAATCAGTTCACTCTAAACTGCTCTGCTCCCCTTCGGGCGCGGAAGCTCCCTGTTGCCCTTCAATAACAGAGGTTTCATTCATCCTGCCCTGTTCGAGCGCAACGATTCGACCCCTACCCACCATATCTCTGCCCTGGGCTGCTGGTCCCGTGGCGAACCAAGGACAGCTGCAGTGCTGGAACGAATACACACGCCTCACGTGCAGATCCTTCTGGCTTGGCCAACTAGATAGTCTCCCATGGACATCTATTTTCTATTGGGCAACTGCCCCTGCAGCAGCAGGAGATAGAAGAGGCGCTCAAGCATGATCTCCCCGTTATCATGGGGAAGAGCGCTACCATCCCTAGTGTCATGGGCTTCGACAGGTCTCTCCCTGTAGCGAGATTTGAGGATGTCATAGGCCAAATAGAGGAACCCCTTCACACCCATCGCCCTGCTGCAACTACTTGCTGCGCGCAATCCGCAGCCAATGCAAAGATTGCTGGCCTTGATGCAATTTAGATAATGGTCGGTGATCGGCCACCAGAAGAAGTCCCACACTGGCCACCATTTGCGGGGGACCGCATCGAGAACGTACAGATCTGCTCCGGTTTCAGGCCTAATATCCATCATTGACTTTCACTCCAAAATTGAAAGGTCGAGCTGACAACATTCAGTGCATCGGAAAGATCTTTGTGGAGTCAATTGTCACTTCTCCCCAGTATCCGACTGAACAAGGGCACCGTCATTTTTAATTGATTCTTCAAGCTGCTGGTACGTAAGTTTGTTTGTGTGCGCACAGCGGGCATGTGAGAAACCATCACATGCATCGTGTACAGAAACCGCTGGCGCAAGAGGCCGGACAATGAACATGATATGACACCGGATCCATCAGACCTCTCTTGGTGCGGCTAAATGTACGGAATTTTCTGACAGTTTGTTTTGATGCTGGGGCGATAAAACTTCACAATTGTCCTTTTACCTTGTCTCGAAGAGGGACGTAGAGCCACAACCACTGCAACACAACATGTTCTGCGGCTGAGGGGGGTGACTCTTGACGAGTGTTTCATGCATTCGCCTTAAGTGTCATGCTCCGTGCCGTAGATTGGAGGAAGTTGGTTGACATCCGTGGTTTGCTCTTGGTATTAAGAGATGTGGTGTGCCCCATAGGACACGATGCAACTTCCACCACTTCTCACAGAGAAATGTGCTTCTTCCCATGCCACTTGCGCCATGGGTGCGTTCAAGCAAGTTGGTCGATCAACATTGACCATTGATCATGTGAGAAGTCCTGATACAAAGATTCACTGTTTGAAGGGCTGATTTTCTTTGCCTTTCAGGTCGCTTGGTGAAATACTGGGTGAAATGGAGGGATCTTTGGTTCGTCACCCCTCCATGTGATGCTCATCAAATTCGTCCCGTCTGGGGCTTCTGTCACGTAGACGTCTCCTTGGAACATGGAGGGCCAGCGGCGTAGCGCCGGTGTTTCCCCAGAGCTGAGACTCTAACTGGAACGCAGCTCGGTCTGGTCCTGCGAAGAGATGGATGGAAATCCAGCCATGGAAAGAAGGATGGAAAGAAGTAGGTGCACTTTTTTGGGAGATTAAGAAATTAAAAAGAGCTTCTGTCGGTGCAAATGGGGGAGTAAGGAGGTTTCAAAGCGCTCGCCGATATTTTCTGAAGTCCTGCTCCAAGTTGCGCTGCTTGGCTTCTAATTCCTGTGATGTTTGTCTTTCATGTGATAATTGTGATAAACAATTGATGTTGCTGGCAAACCTGACCTTTCCCGCACCGCTGTTGAGACTCCACTGTGCAAATTTGTCAGATGTATGTACTGTAGTTATGACTTGTAGTGCATTTGCAGTGTTTCGGCTCAGAGTTGGCTTGACCACTGCCAAATCCTCGAGATGATTCGCGCGATCCGAGTATGGTATGGCCCTCAGCGACATTTAGAGCCTTGAACCTGAAGCCCGATCTACAAAGACCCATTCTCCCCGAGGTCTTGCAGCTTGCTCTGGGTTCTTGTGGTCTTCGTCACACATACCACGTCGGAGGTTCTTGTGGATTTGCTGTTGCAATCGTTTGGTTTGTGTCTTTTGTGTTTGGCTATTCGCAGGCCATTGCCACCTGGGAGCAAAAAGACCCTTTCAGTGC